GGCTCAGGCAATCCACTCACCTCGGCCTCCCAAGGCGTGGGATTACAGGCTGAGTCACTGAGCCCGGCTCTTACTCACTTTGTAACAAGGGGCTCCATCCTGCATTTTCATTTTGTACTGGGTTCCACGATTATGTAGCCCGTCCTGGCTCTAGGAGTTAATGCTCTCCAACCACCTGCTCAGGACCAGCTTCTGAGGACCCCGAGACGACGCAGACTTACCTCTTGACCCCAAGGCGTAGGTGACCCCAGTGATCCCTTCCCTTGAGGCTCTTGTGCATGCTTCATCAGACATCCCGCCACGACTCACTCATTTTACCAGCTGTATGACCTTGGATAAGACGCTGACATTCACTAAGCCTCAGTTTCTCCATCTGTAAAATGGGGCCGATAACAGTACCTAGCTTACCGGGTTGCTGTGAGGATGAAATGAGACAATCCAGCCGGGCTCAGTGGCTCAGCCTGTAATCCCAGCGCTTTGGGAGGCCGAGGTGAGTGGATTGCCTGAGCCCATGGGTTCGAGACCCACCTGGGCAACTTGGCAAGACCTCTCTCTACAATAAATCAAAAATTAGCCGGGCGTGATAGCGCGCGCCTGTAGTTCCAGCTACTTGGAAGGCTGAGGCGGAAGGATCACTGGAGCCCAACTGGCCGAGGCTGCGGTGGCCGGCAGCAGCCACTGCACTCTGGTCTGGGCGACTGAGTGAGACTCCAACTCAAAAAAAAAAAAAAAATCAGCTGGGCATGGTAGCTTGTGCCTATAGTTCCAGCTGCTTGGAAGGCTGAGGCAGAAGGATCGCCGGAGCCTAGCAAGTCGACACTGGGGTGGCCATGAGTGTGCCACTGCTCTGCAGCCTGGGCAATAGAGTATGACTCCAACTCAAAAAAAAAAGAGGGACCAAAAAAAAAAAAAAAACAGCAATTAAAAGCAGCTTGGAAGAAGGGGTCAGAAAGGAAGGCTTCTTGGAGGAGGTGGTGATGCCTGAGCCAAGTTGTGGAAGACTAAGCAGAAACCGGACAGGGAGAGAAGAGAAAGGAAGGGCAGAAATAGCTTGTGCGAAGGAGGAGCACGCAGGGCGAGGGGACCCACCAGGGTTTGGCTGTGGCTAGACATAGGGAAGGGCATGGGGCAGCGGGTTCCCTCACGACTCAGTTCCCTGCATCACCGCACAAGTCAGAAATGGACCCCAGGTCTGTCCCATGTGACCCCAGGCAAGAGCCTCCTTTCCTCTGAGCCTTAGGCCTCACCTGGGACATGGGAATGAGTATCAAGCACCCCTCTGGCTGCTTTAAGGATTAGAGGCCACGCATGCATTCGTCAAGAGGTGGCAGAAGGAATTCTAGGAAGAGGCAGCAGCGTGTGCAAAGGCCCTGAGCAGGGAAGAACACGGTCCCAGGTGGTAACGCAGGTTAGTGCCGGGGGAGCTTGGCACAAGGTGTGGACTGAAGACAGGTAACAGACAGATCCTGCAGGGCCTTGAAGGCCAAGGTGGGACTCTCACGGGCAGGTGTTCTCATGCCGTAACTAGCACATGGTAATAAAACTAGCTGTTGCTGGGCGCGGTGGCTCAAGCTTGTAATTCCAGCACTTTGGGAGGCTGAGGTGAGAGGACTGCCTGAGTCCACAGGTTCGAGAACAGCCTGGGAAACTTGGCAAGACCTCATCTCTACAATTAAAAAAAAAAATTAGCCAGGCATGGTAGCGCACGCCTGTAGTTCCAGTTACTTGGAAGGCTGAGGTAGAAGCATCGCCTGAGCCCAGCAGGTCAATGCTGAGGTGGCCGTGAGCGTGCCACTGCCCTCTAGCCTGGGCAATGGAGAAAGAGTCCAACTCAAAACAAAACAAAGCAACAAAACTAGCTGCTGACATTTAGTGAGCATGTATCGCCTGGCTCTGTTCTGGGCTCTGTTCCTAATCCCATCCCAGGAAGCAGATATCAGGATTATCCTCACCCTATAGGTAAGAAGATGAAAGCTTAGTGGGGGTAAGATACATTGCCAAGGTCACACAGAGAGTCACTGGTGGAGCTGGGTTATGAACCCAGGCCACTGCCTCCAGGAGGCAAGTCCTGGGCGCTTCTAGCCCAGGAATTTGGACTTTCGCCTTCTTTCCTGAGTAGCCCAAATCCTCAGCACTGAACACGTATTGCTTTTACAATCAGACCCCATGAGTAACTGCTAATAACCATGCCCAGGGCCAGGTACGGTGGCTCACACCTATAATCCCAGCACTTTGGGAGGCCGAGATAAGAGGATTGCCTGAGCCCATGGGTTCAAGACTAGCCTGGGCAACTTGGCGAGACCTCCTCTCTACAGTAAATCAAAAAATTAGGGGGGCGTGGTGATGCATGCCTGTAGTTCCAGTACTTGGAAGGCTGGGGAAGAAGGATCATCAGAGCCCAGCAGGTCGAGGCTGCGGTGGCCGTGAGCATGCCACTGCACTTCAGCCTGGGTGACAGAGTGAGACTCCGACTCAAAAAAAAAAACCAGAAACCATGCCTGGGTTGCAATGCCTGGATCTGCTCCGGAAGGCCTCACCCACCAGGCTGTTCCTCTGGCCTCCACAGGAGATGGTCACGTGGACTTCAGGGACTTTTTGGCTGTGATGACGGACACCAAGCGCTTCTTCTGCTCCATGGGTGAGCAAGGACCAGCCCAGGGCGGTCAGAGCTGGAGGGAGGGGCCAGGAAGCTGGTGTGGGGAGTGGGCATTCTGGGCTGCCAAATGGTAATGACAGCCACCATCCCATGTCCCCAGAACAGAACGCCCTGACGGACATGGCTCCCCCAAACCCCCACACTCTACTCTTTGAGATCCTGTCTCTGCTGGTGGAGATGCTGGCCTTACCAGAGGTAGCCTTAGAGGAAATCACAAAGTGAGTGGGGCTGGCTTCTGGGGGTGGAGGGTTGCAGACACAGAGGTGGTACCTAGCATTTTGGCAGCTACTTTTGGTAGGCAGGACTCAGTCCTAAATGAAAGAAACGTGAGAAAAAGTGGCTTAGGCAAAAGGAGAATGTATCGGCTCAAATAACTGGCTGGGGCCTCAGGAATGGCTGTATCCAGGAGACAAGTGAGGTCAAGTTAGGCTTATCTCTCTGTCTGTCCATCTCTATGAACTGGGGGATGCTCGGTCAGGGTTCCCCACAGAGGGAGGGGAGGCACCCAGCACCCCCATACTCACACCCTTCCCATCTAGAACCTTTGCAGCAAGAGGATTCTTTCCCGCAGTACCCACATGGCAATCCCAGAAAAGGAATCTGATGGACATGGCTGGGCGCCAGAAGACACAAGTGCCTCAGGATGTCTCCAGGGCAGATGGGTGGGTGGATGGCAGTTCGTCCAAGGAAGAGCTGGCCACAGGTGAAGACGTGAACATTACAGGGCCAGAAGCACAGGGCAAAGGCAGAACAGCCCAGTTCAGAACAGCCAAACAGCAGTTTCAGGCCCTCGTGTCTTGGAGAACGCCAGCCTCCATTTCCTGGCTTTTTTTTTTTTTTTTGAGTTGGAGTCTCACTCTGTCGCCCAGACTGGAGTGCAGTGGCCGCTCCCGGCCACCGCAGCCTCGACCTGCTGGGCTCCGGCCATCCTTCCGCCTCAGCCTTCCGAGTAGCTGGAATTACAGGTGCGCGCTACCACGCCCGGCTGATTTTTTGATTTACTGTAGAGATGAGGTCTTGCTGCCCAGGCGGGTCTCGAACCCGCGGGCTCAGGCAATCCACTCACCTCAGCCTCCCCAAGGCGGGGGATTACAGGCTGAGCCACTGAGCCTGGCTCACTTCCTGGTCTTTAACATGAATGTATTCTAATACTTGCTGCTGTGTAAATGCCAGCTTTCAACAGAGGTGGCTGTGAGAGTCATATGAGATCTGAATGCCCAAAGCACTTTGTTGCCAGGCATGGTGTCTCGTGCTTGTAATCCCAGCGACTGAGGAGGTTGAAGCAGGAGGATCACTTGAGGCTAAGAGTTTGAGGCCAGCCTGGATACCAACAAACCTAGACCCCCACCTCTAAAAAAATTTTAAAAATTAGCCGGGCATGGTGGCATGCGCCTCCCAGCTACTTGGGAGGGTGAAGTGGGAGGACTGCATGAGCCCAGGAATTTGAGGTTGCAGTGAGCTATGATCCACTGTACTCCAGCCTGGGCAACAGAATGAGATCCCTGTCACTAAAAAAAAAAAACGGAAGAGGCACTTCGTTGACTGCTTCACACAGTTTTCATAACTGTGGGATCCAGTGGGAGGAAGAAAGCACCCAAGCTCTGCCTGTGCCTCTTACTCGTTCTGTGGCCTTGGGCAAATCGCTTATCTCTCAAGTCTCGGTTTCTTCATCTGTGAAATGGAGACATATTTACTCAACCCTTCATTGCGCCATACTATAAGGGGCCCGCCCTCCAGAAGAAAATTCCAGGATTTTGGGGGTCCCCTCTTATATATTGTGATAAAGTCATACCACATAATAGTCTGTAACAATGAAAATGATCCATGGCATATAGCTACCCACAACAGCAGATGAGTCACCAAACACAGTGTTGAAGAGCAAAAGCAAGTGACAGACGACTTAAACTACGATTCCGTTCTTAGAACGTGCTTGTGCTGCAGACGGACATGAGGCGATGTTCAGTTTCCAGCTATGATACTGCAAATATTCTTGTATATGTCTCCAGGTGCCCGTGGGCAAGTTTCTCCAGAGCAGCAGTTTTCAAATTTGTTGGTCTCATGACTTCTTTATATTCTTTTTTTTTTTTTGAGTTGGAGCCTCACTCTGTCACCTAGGTTGGAGTACAGGAGCATGCACCACGAAACCCGACTAATTTTTTGATTTATTGTAGAGACAAGGTTTCACTACGTTGCCCAGGTTCGTCTCGAACCCTTGGGCTCAGGCAATCCTCTTGCCTCTGCTTCCCAAAGTACTGGAATTACAGGCATGAGTCACCGTACCTGGTATCCTTCATACTCTTAAAAATTATTGAGGGCCGGGCTCGGTGGCTCAGTCTGTAATCCCAGCACTTTGGGAGGCTGAGGCAAGTGGACTGCCTGAGCCCGTGGGCTCGAAACCAGCCTGGGCAACTTGGCAAGACTTCATCTCTACAATAAAAAATTAGCCGGGTGTGGTAGCATGCAACTGTAGTTCTGGCTACTTGGAATGCTGAGGTGGAAGGATCACCGGAGCCCATCAGGTCGACACTGGGGTGGCCGTGAGAATGCCACTGCCGTCCAGCCTGGGTGACGGAGTGAGACTCCAACTCAAAAAAAACCCCAAAAAAACCCAAAATTATTGAGGACACCAAGGAGGCTTTATCAATATTTTCTGTACTTGAACTTAGAACTGAAATAAAATTTAAATAGCTATTACTTAAAAATAACCCCATAGCCGGGCTCAGTGGCTCAGCCTGTAATCCCACGCCTTTGGGAGGCTGAGGTGAGTGGACTGCCTGAGACCGTGGGTTCGAGACCCGCCTGGGCAGGCGAGACCTCATCTCTAAAATAAATCAAAAAATTAGCCGGGCGTGGTAGCGCGCGCCTGTAATTCCGGCTACTTGGAAGGCTGAGGCAGAAGGATCGCCGGAGCCCAGCAGGTCGAGGCTGCGGTGGCCAGGAGCGACCACTGCACTCCAGTCTGGGCGACAGAGTGAGACTCCAACTCAAAAAAAGTAATAATAATCCCATTACATATTATCTGTGATCTTTTTAATAAAAAAATAAATTTTCAGCTGGGTTCGGTGGCTCAGCCTGTAATCCCGTACCTTGGAGGCTGAGATGAGTGGAGTGCCTGAGCCCGCTGGTTCGAGACCCACCTGGGCAACTTGGCGAGACCTCA